CATGAAGATAATGATGTTCCAAGAAGTCATAAAGAAGACTTTGACGATTCCATTCCAATATAAAGTAATGAACGAAATTCTCAAGATGAAAATAAAGATGATGTTTATGTAAGTGAAGAACTAGATATTACTACACAATACTAATCGTCGTCTCTAGAAGATGGCCATATTCTCTAACATTAACCAAAAAGAAACAACTTTCCCATTGTCAAAATAGAGGTATACCTAAACCTACATACGAACTAGATATATCTTCAAAGTTTAGGTATCCTATGTGTAACTATATGTCTGATCAAAACCTATCAAACTCAACCAACGTATTTGTAAATTAATTATCAGTTTTAACTATATATACTAATGTGCAAGAAGCTTTAGCTAATCCAAAATGGAGAAGGGTCATAAACGAAGAAATGGACGCATTATAAAAGAATGAGACATAGGATCTTGTAGATATACCACCAAGAAAAAGAACATTTGTATGTCGATGGATCTACACTGTGAAATATAAGGCCGATAGGAACATTGAAAGACATAAAACAAGATGGGTGGGGAAAGGCTACACATAACCCCATAGAATCGATTATGTAGAGACATTCACTCCAGTTTCCTAAATTAATACAATTCAAATATTGTTATCCTTAATTACTAGTTTTGATTAGCCGTTACGACAATTTAATGTAAATAATGCTTTTTTACATGAAGTTTATTTTGAAGAAGTATACATGGATCCTCTACCTGGGTTTATAATAACCAAGAAACAAAAAGACTAGCTTTGCAAGTTAAAGAAGTCACTGTATGGTCTCAAGAAATCCCTAAGAGCATGGTTTGGAAGGTTTACTAAGGCTATGAATTTATTCGGTTACAATCAAAGCAATACTGACAGCACATTATGTTTTAAAACGAAACACCGTAAAATCTCTTCTCTTATCATATATTTTGATGATATGGTTCTTACGGGCGATGACCTCAATGAACAAAATGATCTGAATGATTATTTGTCTTGTGAATTTGAAATGAAAGATCTTGGTCCACTAAAATACTTCCTTGGGATTGAAGTGTCTGGATTAAATGTTGGAATCTTGCTATCCTAAAGAAAGTATTCTCTAGATCTTTTGTAAGAATCTAGAATGTTAGGTTGCAAATCAGTAAATACACCAATGATTGAAGGTCTAAAGCTTAAGAATGAAATACATGTTCTAGTTGACAAAAAAAAAGGTATCTAAGACTCGTGCGAAGGTTGATGTGCTTGGCATACACGTGACCAGACATTTCTTATAAAGTAAGTGTAGTCAGTCAGTTCATGCACAATCCAGGTGAACAACATATGAATGCTTTCATCCATTTACTACAATACTTTAAGTTAGCTCCAGGAAGGGGAATTTTTTAAAAAGAATTCAAACCACCAGAGCTTTTAAATATAGACAAACACATATCGGGTAGGATCAAAAGTTGAAGGTATGTCTACATGTCGTTATTTTAGCTTTGAGGGTGGCAATTTAGTAAACTGGAAGTAAAAAAAAAAAAAAAAAAAAAAAAAAAAAAAAAAAAACGTTGTGGCTTGATCTAGTATAGAGGCTGAGTTTAGAAGTATGGCTCTGCATATTTGTGAGGTATGGTGGATCAAACAGTCTTATACAAGATTTGGGTTACTCTCTCAAATAATATATTCAACTACTTTGTGATAACAAATCTACTCGTGACATTGCTTATTATCAAGTTCATCACGACCATACCAAACATGTGGAAGTGGATAGATTCTTCATTAAAAAAATTAGACAACAAGATATTAGAATTACCAAAACTTCGATCAAAAGACCACTACCAAACATCTTGACTAAATCCACATCTAAGACTTTTTTTCCCAATCCTCTTAGCTAGTTGGGTATGTGTGATATATATGCACCACCTTGAAATGGAATGTTGAGATTTTTTAATAAAAATTATGTTAAGATTATGATATGTTAGAGATAATAGGGAATTAGATTACTTTATGTTAGAGATTGATTTCATCAATCTCTTATAAATATTGTATTTTCCTTTGGGGTTTAATATATGAAAAAGAAACTCTTGAGATTAAATAGGGTCTCGTTCAAGGTTTGTGATATAGCCAGTAGTACCCAAAAAAATATTTTTCATCCTTAGGAAATTGTTTGTTGTGCTCGAATAGTGCTCGAATAGAAGATTTGCCATGCACATCCCAAGATCCCCTTTCGTTTATGAAGGGTTTTGGTATAGTACAACATCTTATGGTGCACATACAACACTAAATGCTTTGGATCTGTGTTTTCTCTAATTATACATGCAATATTGTTTCCAAAGCATTAAGCCTACAACTATCATACAAGATGGAATAATCAACATAAAAGAGAGTTATAGAAATGTCTCTTTGTTGTAGCTTGTAGAACTTCTTGAGTTTGACCTTTAAGAACTTAGTGCCCCAAGTGTTCCACCTCAAATGGAATCACAACACACCTAGGACAAGGACGACTTTTGAGAGAATATCCTAACACCAAAATCGGCTCAATGATCTCTGAGAACACTAGTGTGTCATTTTGGATGCTAAAGGGGTCCTTATATACTGTGGCAAGATAGGGTTACACCATGTAAACCCTAATGTGTATGACCTTCCATATTCCTTAGGCTCCATGGGTTTCAACCCCCATAGATCATCCATAGGTTGTAACATTGATTTAGCTCAACCTAAAGAATCATGGATCATTGGCACATACCAGAAGTATGAATGATTTACCAAATCAATCCCCATATATCTAATTAGTCTCTTTTGATCACAAAATTAATTCCAAATTAATTCTTGATCAATACTAATTAAACAATATGATTTCATATTAATATATTAGAACTTATAATATATTAACAATTCATAAATAATCCTTCTCAAAAGTCCATCCTAACAAATTGTCCTAATGATATGCAACTTAAATGGATCACATTACTCTCGGATCAAATATATATCAATTATAGCTATGACCTTATACATCTAATCCAATATCTTCGGTATCATCCTTAATCAGTTTTTAAATCAACTTGTCATTATAAAAAAAAATTCATTGTATCTCTAACCATATGCAGAATGTGTTATTTAATGTCTACAATCAATAAAATTTGTCTACGGTCCAATCTGTATTAATTAATCACTTTGATATTATAAACATTGTTATATTATGTGTTTTTATTTTTCTTCACATTTTCATAGTGTGGTGTGTGATAATCGATTTTTGATTCTACCAATAAAGTTCATTTGTTGTGACTTGAAAATTCCGCTAAACATTATTTTGTGGTAACTAGGTAGAAAGTTATAGATACTATTCAATTACTAATTATGGATTCTTCCTAATTAAGTAATATATCTTTATGTTTAGTTTCGCGTACTTTTGGATTCAAATCAGCTAGCAAATACCAATGGCGGAATCATCCTTTAGTTTCCATTTTTAACTCCAATTTGTGAATATTAAACTTGCTGATTAATTTCCACTAACAAAGAACTATATATGGGCCATATGTATTATGTATTAATTAGTTGAGAAATTAAATATCCTTTTGCTTTTCTTCCTAACAATCTTTGTTCCTATAATCCTCCTATTATTTAAACAATAACTATTAAATAAACATTAAATATTATACATTTCACCCTTTAATTCTATAGAAAGATTTATAATAACAAAAGTTAAGACGATATTTAACTTCTCTGATTATTTTATGCACTAATTGTATCGAACTCCCTTCCATTACGAGATTCTGTCACTGTATATCCATATGCTTTTGTAATAGCTAAACAGCGAAAACTGTGATTGTTTTGAATCATCAAACTGCAATTTGACTACTTCCAAATTGTTTATTCGTCATTACTTAATCTCAGGTTGACTTCAAACTTCAAAAATACAGACCTGGCCGACATGAATGAAGAAATGGGCCATGGAAAGGGAGGGGGAGGCGGGGAGCAGGTAGTAGACCATTTCACGATGAAGGGTCCTAGTTTGCATCCCCTTTCACCGGTTGCTCCATTTTCTTCAAGATTTTTTGTCGGTAATGGGCTTTTAGAAACACTCTTTTTGTATAACCTTTGAAAAGAAAAAAGTTCGTATACAAACTCAGCTGTATAAGTAGACAGATAATACGGGTTTTTTGGTTTTTCTTAGGAAGAAAACTTTTCATGGTTATTGAACGATGTGAAAACACTTTGTTGTAGTCGAATGTCTTCTTACTTTTTGGGCACGATTGACAAAATGGAAGTGATTGCCTTTTGAACAAAGTTGACAAATGTAGGTGATTATAACACGTCAAAAGTTTTATCCTCCGATAGTAGTAATAATTTCAGTTGTTAGTAATTATTTGACATTTTAAATATAAAACAATTAAAAATAATTCTTTATCATGTTCCTAAAATAATCGTAATAATTTAATATATGTAGAATCTTTAGATCGGTGATGATGATATATATATATATATTTGTTATGTTTCTTTGTGGCATGAAGGTATTAAAATTTTGTTTAGACAATTGATCAATTAACTAATTGTTTTTTTTATTATTATTATATGCAATAGGTTTGTTGTAAATTTTGTGAAACAAATAGAAATATATAAAGAGTTTTTATTTGCATCTCTTAACTGCGACTTTAAATAATATCGACTATATTCTTTGACTTTAACGAATAAATCAATTCTCTTCTTTTAGAGACGAGTTTTCATAACTCTAAGTGCTCAATAATTGATGGTTAACTAATTTATCTTTTCAATATAAAATCATTAAAATTAGAAGAAAAAATAGTTTAATTTACAAGGACTTTAGTCAATAGTGAAACATTTCAACTGGTTTTTCCAAAGAAAATAAAATTTGAAAACATTTCCATCAAAAAATTAGCATTCCTTTTTTGTCAAGAGGATCTGACATGGCATTCCCTTTACAGCTTGGATCCTTCTACCTTCAACTTCCCCTATATATATTCCTTCCAAACAGACCAACATAAATCACTCACTCTCCTAATCAATCATTCTATAAAACACACCTTTTCTCCCAACAACAAATCACATCACTTTCTTTTTTCCATCTCCTACCACTTTCACTTTCTTCAGAACTTTCAAGATCATCAAGAAATTATGTTGTCAGCAAAGGTCACATGCAACTCTCATGGACAAGATTCATCGTACTTCCTCGGATGGGAGGAATACGAAAAGAATCCCTACGACGAAGTTAAGAATCCCAATGGAATCATCCAAATGGGTCTCGCCGAGAATCAACTCTCCTTTGATCTTCTTGAATCATGGCTCCAGAAAAACCCAGAGATCGCAGCTTTCAAGAAACATAATAACGATCAATCTATCTTTAAAGAACTTGCTCTCTTTCAAGATTACCATGGCCTTCCTGCCTTCAAGAATGTAAGCACAATTTAATAATTCGTCTCTTTATATCAATTTTTCTTCAATATTTTGGTGATTAATAAACGAATATTATCTACAGGCTTTAGTCCGCTTCATGTCGGAGATACGAGGAAACACAGTTACTTTTGATCCGAACAACCTTGTACTGACAGCAGGCGCAACCTCGGCTAACGAAACGCTAATGTTTTGCATAGCTAATCCCGGCGACGCGGATTCTCATTCCGACACCTTACTATCCAGGGTAAGTCGACATTTTTATACATGAAATGTGTTATCAAGGTCACTCTTTTACTTTTGTATCTGTTTCTGATCGAGTTTTTTTAATGTTGTATAGGTTTGATAGAGACCTAAAATGGAGAACTGGAGCTGAAATTGTTCCAATCCATTGTTCAAGCTTGAATGGTTTCAGAATTACAAAACCTGCTCTTGAAGATGCTTACAAACAAGCAGAAAAACAGAACCTCAAAGTCAAGGGTGTTTTGGTGACAAACCCTTCGAACCCATTAGGCACGTCGCTGAGCTTGCATGAGCTCGATCTACTCGTCAACTTTATCTCCACGAAAAATATCCACCTCATTAGCGACGAAATTTACTCAGGTACTGTGTTTAGCTATCCTAGCTTTACTAGTATCATGGAGGTTTTAAAAAACAGAAACCTCATGAACACTGAAATCGCGAAAAGAGTCCACATTGTTTACAGTCTCTCTAAAGATCTTGGACTCCCTGGTTTTCGAATTGGAGCTATTTACTCCAATGATGAGCGTGTTGTATCTGCTGCAACGAAAATGTCGAGCTTCGGTTTGATCTCTTCTCAGACTCAGTATTTATTGTCGGAGATCCTTTCTGACAAGAAGTTCACAAAAACGTATCTTTCTGAGAACCGAAGAAGATTGAAGCAAAGACATGAAAAGCTTGTAAAGGGGCTTCAGAAAACAGGGATTCGGTGTCTTCAAAGCAATGCTGGTTTGTTTTGTTGGGTGGATATGAGGCACCTTTTGAGCTCAGATACTTTCGAAGGTGAAATGGAGCTTTGGTTGAAGATTGTTTATGAAGTTGGGTTGAACATTTCACCCGGTTCATCGTGCCATTGTAGTGAACCGGGTTGGTTTAGGATTTGCTTTGCAAACATGTCGGAGGAAACCCTAGCAGTCGCCATGCAACGTGTGAAGTCGTTTGTAGAGTCCATAGTTAAGAAAAATACTCAGAGTCGTCATCAACAGTTACTGAAGAGAGATTCAAGAAGATCGAAGTCGCTACCCAAATGGGTTTTTGAACTATCGTTTGATCACCAACGGGAAGTGGGTGATGAACGTTAGGCATGCGATGGATTGATCGACATATATGTTTGATTTTCTTTTTAGTTATTTTCTCGATGTATTAATATGATGTACATTGAGTTTCTTTTTTTTTTTTTTTTTTTTTTTTTTTTAATATTTTTTTTGTGGGATTCTTAGTTCCTAAACAGAGATCGTGCACTCAATCCTTGTGGATTAGAAGTGGCATATGATTCTTCGCTTTGTAAAATCATTGAGTAATTTTGATGTAACTTGATTTCTGAAATGTTCATTAATAGACTTCTATTTTTTCAGTATTTCTCGTTGAAAATGTTCTACAAAAATCATAATATATACTCTTTATTATGTTTGTATACTCACGCTTGTTTTATCCCATCACAAAATACAATCATATATTGAAATTGTTATGAAACATAATAATAGTACAAACTAAGAATACATCTTGATTTCGCAAAAAAAAATTGGTTTGAATATACAAGTATTGTGATTATTAACTTATTTTATTAAAATATTGAATAAAAAATATGATGTTCATAACTATTTATCCACCTTTTGATTGTGACACGATATCTTAACAGTCGGATTTCTTAAAATGGCACCGCCGCTATCTGCGGCTTGAGTTACTGAGAAGTTGGTGTCGACGTACATCGGCCGGCCGTTTTGTTTTCTTATACATGTTTGTGTAACCGACTTTTTCTTTTTTGGTTCATCCAACGGAGGCAGAATGTGTACCAACGGTTTCGTATGATTAATATAGAAGTATCACACTCATTGATGAAGGGGTTCGGATATTCCTATCATATTTTTGCTTTAAACTAATATCTACATAATAATTCTTTTCATTACCAAAAAATGGACTTGCATTGCACCTATGTAGAAATTTGCGGTTAATCCGAGCCTAAAATCATTTAATGACAAACTAATGAAACAAACTGGTCGCAACTAAGTAGTGGCTAATAGTTCCACCGCTCCGATACATTCACTACAAGAATCAAAGGCAATAGTGGCGACAACCACTATTAGCGGTGACGCTAATAAGGGTCACTGTTAATAGTAGTTGTCACCGCTAGTGTCGTTAGGACAACAATTTGCCTTCACCCGTTCTGGTAAACCACGTCCGTTCGATCATGTCTACAACCCAAGGGTTGTTGTCGTTTGTTTCACGTAAATTAATAACGACGACACCAATATCCGCGGCTAGTATCGTTGATGATAGTCGAAAAAACCCCGCATTTTTTCCCTCGCTTGTGTCGCCCTTATTTCCTATCCATCATTGGTATTACCTATTAGTCTTCTCTATTAGCCTTCGCCGCTATTACTTGTTGCAGATAACCCGACACGGTGTATGTCTTATTCACTTTCTGCTTCCATTTGCCTCCCGTATTTTCTCATTTTTCTCTATCCATTCTCTCACACGAATCTCTGATTGAGGACAAATACCACCGGCATGCCACCAGGATGCACCCCACTGTGACATTACCATCGAATAGCAAACGGATATATCGACAACGCCTCTATTCTTTGGCGATGGTAATGAATCTCCTTCCTTGTTTCTCTTTCTCTTTCCCTATTAATGTCAATTTATAGTTTAATGTCAATATTAATTGCAAAAAAAATTGTTGATTCAAGTTCACCTCAAATGTTGTGGTCTCCGACGACTACTACCACTACTGCACCACCTGCTTAATTTCCGACACCTACATGTTCCATTTACTGTTAAGTTTGTACTAATGAATATTTGTATGTATATTTATAACTTTTTATGAAAGTTTGTATATGTGTGTATATTAGGTATATGTATATTTTGTATATGTGTGTGTGAAGGTACGTGTATTTGTTATATTTATTTGTGTATAATGTATGTATGTATGTATGTATGTATGTATATATATATATATATATATATATATATATATATATATATAATGTGTGTTTGTATGTATGAAAATAGTTTATTATTTGTGTATATGTGTATTAGTATGTAATGTGGATTGTGTGTGTGTGTGTAGAATGTATGTATATATGTATATAATGTGTATCCTTATGTATAAAATAGTTTATTAAGTATGTATGTGTATTTGTATGCAATGCAGAATGTATATGTGTATAATGTGCATCTAAATGTATGAAAACATGAAATTATGTATGTATATTTGAATTTGTATTGCATTATGGATTGTATGTGTGCATTTATATGTACAAAAATAAGAAATTATGTATGTGGGTGTATGTGTTTATATATATATATATATAATATATATATATATATATATATATATATATATATATATATAGGTGTGTGTGTGTATGTGTGTATGTGTGTCTATTGGTATGCAATATATAAACTACAATGCTATAATGGAAATGTAACACCCGTGCTTCCAGGTATAATCTTTATTTATGTTTTTGGAGGACTATTGAGCGTCAGTTGGCGACTATACGAGACCCTAGTGGGGGAGTGCTTACAGTGTATAGCGAGGGTACCAGATCTGGGTCAGCCTTCTACTCTGATGCCAGGGCGAGGCAGAGTCTACAACAGGGTCGTATGGGTTTTCTAGCATATGTGTCGGATACGCGGGTTGCTACCGAGAGACTGAGTTCTATCGCTGAGGTTCCGATAGTGAGAGTTTCTAGATGTTTTTCCCGAGCATTTACCGGGCGTGCCTCCTGAGAAGCAAGTCGAGTTCCGGATTGATTTGGTTCTAGGAGCGGCACCTATCTCCAGGGCACCTTATCGCCTTGCGCCACCAGAGATGTAGGAGTTATCCTCATAGGTCTAGGAGCTGATGAGGAAGGGATTTATCTGACCGAGTAGCTCGTCGTGGAGAGCGACGCTCCTTTTTGTCAAGAAAAAGGATGGTTCACATCGGATGTGTATTTATTACCGGGAGTCGAACAAGCTGGTGTGCAGGCCCATGTTAGATTGATCGATGATCATGTCCATCAACGATATCTTGTTGTATTCAAGATCCAGAGCGCAGCATGAGGAGCATCTGAGATTCTTGGGGTTTTGAGATCGGAGAGGTTTTATGTAAAGTTCTCTAAGTGTGAATTCTAGTTACGAAAGGTCTAGTTCCTAGGACACCTCGTTAATCAGAATGGGATATTGGTCGAATTGGCCAAGATTGAGGCACTTATGCGATGGTAGGTGCCAAGATCCCCATCCGATATCAGGAGTTTTCTGGGATTGGCCGGCTGCTATCGGAAATTTATCAAAGATTTCTCCAAGATTTCTGTCCCCCTCAGCAGGTTGACCCGGAAAGGTGTTACTTTTATTTGGGGTCCTGAGCAGCATGCCTCATTTGAGACACTTCGCCAGAGTTTGTGTGAAGCCCCGATGTTAGCCCTTCCTGAGGTAGTGGAGGACTTTGTGGTATATTGCGATGCATCTATATCAGGAATGGCCGCAATGATGATGCAGAGGGGGCATGTGATAGCATATGTTGAGGCAGTTGAAGCCTCACGAGAAGATATATCCCACCCACGATCTAGAGCTGGGGGCAGTGGTATGCGCCCTCAAGATCTGGCGTCATTATCTGTATGGGTTTCGGTGTACCATATATACAGACCATAAAATCCTAAAGTATCTCATGGATCAACCCAACCTAAACATGA